GCAGCAGCCAGTCCCCCACCCCAGAAAGGGGAAGTGGTGCCCAGCAGGGGCTCCAGCTGGTTTCCAGTAACACGGGGCTCGGGGACAGCCACCTCTGAGAGAAAATGGTCACCCTGTGCCTCGGGCCATCGCCGTGCAGGTTGTGGAGGGTTTTGTATAAAATTAGAGGAAAATTAGTGAATAGCCATGAAAATTAGCAAATAACTGAGGGAGGTGAAACACTGGAACAGGTTGGCCAAGGAAATTGTAGCTGCTCCTCCCTGGAAGTGTTGAAGGCCAGGTTGGATGAGGCTTTGAGCAACCTGGTCTAGTGGAAGGTGTCCCTGCTGCTGGCAGGGGGGGTGGGGCTGGATGAGCTTTAAGGTCCCTTCCCACCCAGATGAGTCTGGGATTCTCTGATAATGACAATATCAGGCAGCTCAGGTGCAGCCCAAGCACTTGCCCTCGGTGCTCTTCCTTGAGCCCACGTGAGCTCTGCAGGGAGCAGCAACACAAACCAAAAACCCTGAGATCTGCAGGAGCTTCACAAATGAAGGTGCCAGAAGAACTGTTCACAAGGGCATGGAGCAATGGGACGAGGGGTGATGGTTTGAAACAAGAAAAGGGGCAATCCAGGTATCAGGAAAAAGTTCTTCAATATGAGGGTGGTGGGTCATTGGAACAGGTTGCCCAGAGACATAGTGGAGGCCCCATCCCTGGAGATATTCAAGGTCAGGCTGGATGGGGCTCTCAGCAACCTGCTCTGGTAAAGATGTCCCTGCTCACTGCAGGGGGTTGGACTAGATGGATCTTTGAAGGTCCCTTCAACCCAAACCAGTCTGTGATTCTATGAAATTTATGACCCAAGAGTGGCGGCCATTGGGGCTGAAGCTCAGCATCTTGGCCTCTTTCCCCCTACGTGTCTTGTTTTTGAAGGAATTTCCTCTTCTTTCCAGGACGTCACCCTTTGTTTTACAGGAAATTTGCCCCTTCCTTCCTAAGAAATCTCACTATCGTTTTCCAGGAAATTTCCCTGTTGCTTTGCAGGATATTTCCCTCCCATTGCTTTCCAAGAAATTCCTCCCCTGCTTCCTGGGAAATGTCCTTGTTGCTTTCTCTACTCCTCCACTGTTTTCTAGGAATTTTCTCTCTGCTTAGAGGACTGTTACTGCTTTCTAGGAAATTTCTCCATGACTGTCACTCCCTGGGAAGTCAGAAATTATTTCCCAAGAAATCTCATTCTCCCTGTCCAGGAACTTTCCCTTTTGATTTTTCTTTTGCTTTCTGGGAAACTTCCCCTCTAGGAAATATCACTGTCACTTTCTTAAGAAATGTCACTTTTGCTTTTCAGGAATTTCCCCGGCATTGGAGGAAATTTCCTCCTTGCTTTTGAGGAATTTTCCTCCTTTGATTTCTAGGCTATCTCCCCTGTGGCTTTCTAGGAAGTTCCCCCATTGCTTTCTACAAACTTCCAGAATATTTCCCCCTTGGATTTCAAGGAATTCCCCCTCATCTTTGTCGTGCAGTGAATGTCCCCTTTGTTCTCCAGGATATTTTACTGTCATTTTCTAGGATGGTTTCCATTTGCTTTCTAGGAATTCCCTTATTGGTTTCCAGGAATTTTCCTCTTTGCTTCGTAGGATTTTTTTCCCCCCAGGGCTTTAGGAAATTTCCTCCTTGCATTCCAGGAAATCCCACCAGCCAAAGAGCCACGGCCAGGGCTGGTGTGGGACAAGGCGCGACTGAAAAGGGCGTGGGGTAGGGGGAGGACACTGCCAGAGGGACGAGGGAGGATGCACAAGGAGTTGGCTCCATGCTGGCTGTTGTCCCCTGTCCCAGGGACAAGTGCCACAGGCAGGGACGGGAGCAGAGGTGTTTCTCTAAGTGTAATTATTCACTTTTATTCCTCAGTACTGCAGCCAATGCTTAGAGGTTCCTGTTAATTAAGCTGATGGGAATTCTCCCATTTTTAATTCATTTTTTTGGCCAGTGGCACCCTGCATGCCACATCCCCACGGCCTCCTGACACAGGGACACGTCCAGGCAGCTAAAAATCAGCCCCATTTTGGTCACCAGCTCCAACGTGGTGGAAGAAGAGCTGGAGATATCAGGAGGAAGAGTGTTTGACAAAGAGGTTTTTTCAAAGGATCCAAAAGGACGAGAGTTTTCCTGAACCTCAGCCCAAATTGTCCTCCAGACATAACCCTACAATCCAGACCTGCACCCCCTGCAGCTCCAGGGGACAACCCTTGCGGGGAGAAGGGGAACAGAAACCCCTCTGCTTTTAGCGGTGTGGGGGGTCTGTGTGTGGGGGGCTGTGTTTGGTAGTGGGGAAGGGGCTACAGTGATGGCCCCTGTGAGAAGCTTCGAGAAGCTCCCCTGGCTCCAAAGAGAACCCACCTCCAGCCCAGGCTGAGCCAATCAGCAACAGGGAAACATCTCTGCAAATCCATATTTATGAGGGGAAGAACTGGTTTGAAAAGAAGAAGGTGGAGAGAACCCCTGAGGAGAGACTATTGACTTGGACAAAAGACCATTGGCCTAAACAAAGAGAGAGATTCCAGAGCTTTGTTGCCAGGAGGAAGGAGGAGGAGGGGGAGGACAGAACCTCAGACACCGGGATCACAGAAGAGTAGAGGGGATAAATGGGGTCCCCTGCAGCCCATGGAGGTTCAGCGGCGGAGCAGATCCCCACGTGTAGGTCATGGAGGACTCCACACTAGAGCAGAAAGCTGAGCCCGAGGGCAAGTGTGACTGAACTGAGACCCCAGAGATGCTGACACCAGAGCAGGGGGAGGAGGTGCACTGGACCCATCTCCAGCCCATGGATGTCCCCATGGTGGAGCCAGGAACTGAGCCCAGAGAGGCCCATGACTCCATGGGCAGCCCATGTTGGAACACTTTTTTCCTGGACTCTTTTACCCCACAGGAGGGATCTCATGTCGGGAAGAGCAGCAGAGACGAACTGACTGAACCCCCATTCCCTGTCCCCTGTGCCCTGGAGAAATGGGGAGCAAAGTGATGGGAGCCCGGGAAGAAGGGAGGGGTGGGGGAAGGTGCTGTCAGGTGTGGTTGTTGTGTCTCACTGTCCTACTCTGATTGATTGGGAACGAATTAAATGGATTTTTCTTCCCCAAGTGGAGTCTGTTTTGCCCGTGCCCATCAGTGGTGAGTGAGCCCTCCCTGTCCTCATCCCAACCCACCAGCCCTTTGGTGAGTTTCTCTCCCCATCTCAGCGGGTCGGGGGCAGCGAGTGCAGGACTGTGGGGTCTGAGCTGTGGCTGAAACCACCACAATTGTCACGGTTTCTTTTGGAGACTTTCCTTGTCAATCACAAAGCAGCAAGTAACGGGGCACCTTAATAAAAAAAATTTAAAAAAAAGAAAAGAAAAAAAAAGAATCTTTCTCTTTTAATCCACCCAAGGGAAATCCAGAGCAAGAGCAGCATCACAGCACTACACACGGCACAGACACCCATCACTGTCTTTGCACAGATGCCTTCTCAGGTACATGGAGAAGTCAGTAAGAAAAAAAAAAAAAAAGAAAAATAAAGAAAACTATCCACATAAGCAAAGTGACAAGTAACAAATCAACCACAGAACAACGTTTTCTGAAGAGAAAAAGGACGCAGCAAGGAAGAAGGCCCTCAGCGTACAGGTTTTGCAAAAACCTAACCCAAGAATGTTGAAACACAAATGGTTTTCTTTTAAACATTAAAAACAGGGATTTTTTTTTTTTTTAATTAACTTAAATATACATTTGAAACACAAACACCAAGCAAGGGCCTGGAGAACAAAGCAAAAGAAAGAAGGAATGAAAAGTGAATTCGACCAGTTTAATTTAAACACCAAAGTTGGGTGGATTGCACCAAATGGAATAAATAATGGAGAAGATCACGCTGGGTTGGTAGATCTCACACTTATGATCATTTAAAGTAGAATTAATTACACAGCCCAAGAGAGTACTGAAGGAGGAAACCCTCTGACAGGTGATGTTACCTGGGGCAGCATCCCTTTAACACAGCTGGAGGTGTGGATTTGTCCCCTGCCACCCAACAATGACCACCACCCTAGAAGCGAGCAGGGTGACAGGGTTTTTGTGATCCAGAAGGCTTGAGCCTGTGATCACGTACACACCAACAGCTCCTGGCTCGGGGTGGGGGGACACTCCACCTCTTGGATACCAGCTGGTTCCAAACACGCCCAAGTCAAACACCAAAACTCAACCAGACCGTGTGTTTTCACCTGGCAAGGTGATCACACAGACACAGCGTTTCTAGAGCGGCTCCCCAAGGTTGGGCAGCGCAGAAGCAGAGCAGGAACTTCCATTCACATACCTGGGGCTAAGCTGGAAAAAAAAATAATAATTAAAAATCAGCTAATCTACACCTGCGGCCACCGCTTAATCACCCCGGGAGCAGGCAGGCTGAAGGAATGTAAGTGGTTTCTGGTTGTTTGGTTTTTCCCTCCCCACAATCCCTGCATTAAAAAAAAAATAAATTAAAAAAAAAGCAAACACAAAAACTTGACCCCAAGTTCCTCTCCTTCCCCTGCCTGTAGCCAGGCAGCAAAGCACCTTCAGACATTCATTTGATCCCACAGACATGTTCCCTACAGAGCAGACATCTCATCTCTGCACCTCACCCAGGTGTGCCTGTGACACTCAGTTAGGAGGGACGTCCCTTTGCTATAAAACCAAAATAATTACAAAAATCAATAGTCAGGATCCCCTTTCCCTTCCTCTGATCTCCAACAAGTTCATCTAAGTCCAACTTGTTTTTAAGAAAGGGAGAAGGGATGGATGAAGGTTTCCAGGCCAAGGAATCTGGTGGATCCAGCCATGGGCCCTTCCTCTGCCACATCTTCCTGGGGAGAAACGGCACAGACAGGTCAGTGTCCAGCCCACCCCTCCACCGTGCCAGGAGGCCTCTGCCCCACCGTGCCTCCGGCAGCGATGAGATGAGCCCTCATTTGCACAGTGCCTGTTTTGGATCCGGAGCCAGCAGAGCTGAGGAGGGGCTGAGGGGACACAGCTGCTCCTCCAGCTCATCCTCAGAGAGCGGGCAACTCCAGGAAGAGAGAGAGACCAGGGTGGATGAGGATTCAGGTTATTTCTTTCCCATCCCTCTTCCTCCCCAAAGCTGGGAAGAGACTTCTGGGTCTGCAAGCCCAGTCTGTGCTTACCAGTGTCCTTAAGAATGACAATTTTAAAAAAACCAACAAAATAAAAAGGAAAGGGGAAAAAAAAAAAAAAAAAAAAAAAAAGCATAATTAGGTATTGTCCGTGGAAGGAGCAGGAGGGGGCAGGTTCCAGACGAAGACAGAAAAGGGACCCTCTCCCTCCCGGCATTTGCTCGTCTGGAGGCCGATCCCCTCGGCCTCCCTGCGGGAACCCTTTGTGCTGTTGCTCTGACATCGGTCGACACGGGTGACAAACACGGGGACGAACTGAGTGCCTCAGAGGGCAGGAGGGCAGAGGCAGGGGCGCTGGGGCTAGGCCCGGTGCTTGGGGAGCATGTCCAGCAGGAACTCCGCGATGCCGATGAAGTAGACGACTTGTGCAATGCCGAAGAGAGGAGCAATGACCAGGGCTCGGCAGTACGCCCCTTTCAGAAAGGCCATGGGCCCTTCCTTCTGCCAGATCTTTCTGGGGAGAAATGGCACAGACAGGTCAGTGTCCAGCCCACCCCTCCACCATGCCAAGGAGGCCTCTGGCCATGCCCTGGCTTTCTGCCTCCCTCGAGACTAAACCCAGGCAAGCACTGTCACCTGGCACTGCCTCCAGAGCAGATCATCCACCATCCCCCACATGCTCTGTGAATGGCCATGAAGGAACATGCCCCATCCCCACAGCTGGCCACGAGCAGGAACATCTGCCTGGGTCTGGGTGTACAGCTTCTCCTTCTCTGGAGACATTCAAGACCCACCTGGACACCTTCCTGTGTAATCTCATCTAGGTGTTCCTGCTTTGGCAGGGGGATTAGACAATCTTTCGAGGTCCCTTCCAATCCCAACATTCTGTGACTCTGTGATACAGCTAAGACAACCCTGTGCTTGCATCAAGAGGTCCCCCTGGTCAGAAGTTGGGGTCAACTCCACCCTCATTAGGGGACACAGCCAGATGGCAAGAGACTCTGACTACAACAGCAACCCAGGAGCAGAGAGCACTTGTGTTCTGAAACTGCCGACACGTTTTGAAGCAGCCAGAGCACAGCTGAGCAAAGGGTCAGAGGAGAGCGTGGCTGGGGACAGCCCACACAGACAGCTCCTGCAGTCGCTCTTCTGAGCAGCCCCGGGTGGGAAACAAGACTTAATGATGTAGGACTGTCAGACAACAGGGTCTTTGGAGAGAAAACCACAGCATTGCCTCCCTTCGCAGAAATAAATCTCCGTGTTATGACTGCTGGAGATTGGACAGAGGCATTTCATAGAATCATAGAACCACAGACTGGTCTAGACAGGAAGGGACCTTAAAGATCATCCAGTTCCAACCCCTCTGCCATCCGCAG